CCTCTCGTCCTCGGGTCCGCTCCGTCCTGTGGTGGGCGATGCCCACGGAGGCAGGGCTGGTCTGCGCAGCATCTGGTCAGGGTGGCCTTCGGAGATTATTCTAAAGGGCCCGTGTTCTAGGAAGATGCTTCATCTTGGAGGAGCTTGCAAAGAGTTCTTCCCTCGCTCTAGGTTACGGCTTTGACTTGTGATATAATTGCTAGAAGCTGGACCATTCTTTACAGTTATTGGACCCTTCACTCAGACCAAGTCACTGCTTTCTCCTTGCCCAGCACCTTGGTCCTCTGGGGTTCTTGCCTGGACAGACGCTCCTTAATCGGCATTATTGATAACTCTCCATAGAGATGGTTGCAATTCCAGATTATACTTCATGCTTTCCACTGTTCTCCATGAACATCCTGGTTCACTCGCGTTTGCGAATGGACGCACATATCTCAGCTCCTGTGAGCTGCTCTAACAAAATGCCTGAGGCGTGTAGCTTGTCAGGAACTGGAATGGATTTGTCAGAGTTCCGGATGCTGGGCATCCAAGACGCAGGTGCCAGCAGGTTCACTGTCCGGCGGGCCCTCTTTCTGGTTCGCAGGGACCTTCTCCTGGCGTCTTCACGCGGTGGGAGGACACGGGGCTCTTTCATGAGAGCGCTAATCCCGTCCATAGGGCCCCCCCCCTCGTGTTCTAGCCCCTTTCAAAGGACTCGCCTCCTAATACCATCCCGTTGGCGGCTCGGACATGACTACCCACCATAAACTGCTTTTAGTTAAGAAGTTTTCATTTCAGACCATCCTTTGTGGTGACTTCAGGTCTCTGAGTTGGCAATAATTGCTAGAAGCTGGACCATTCTTTACAGTTATTGGACCCTTCACTCAGACCAAGTCACTGCCTTCTCCCTGCCCAGCACCTTGGTCCTCTGGGGCTCTTGCCTGGACAGACGCTCCTTAATCGGCATTATTGATAACTCTCCATAGAGATGGTTGCAATTCCAGATTATACTTCATGCTTTCCACTGTTCTCCATGAACATCCTGGTTCACTCGCGTTTGCGAATGGACGCACATATCTCAGCTCCTGTGAGCTGCTCTAACAAAATGCCTGAGGCGTGTAGCTTGTCAGGAACTGGAATGGATTTGTCAGAGTTCCGGATGCTGGGCATCCAAGACCCAGGTGCCAGCAGGTTCACTGTCCGGCGGGGCCTCTTTCTGGTTCGCAGGGACCTTCTCCTGGCGTCTTCACGCGGTGGGAGGACACGGGGCTCTTTCATGAGAGCGCTAATCCCGTCCATAGGGCCCCCCCCCTCGTGTTCTAGCCCCTTTCAAAGGACTCGCCTCCTAATACCATCCCGTTGGCGGCTCGGACATGACTACCCACCATAAACTGCTTTTAGTTAAGAAGTTTTCATTTCAGACCCTCCTTTGTGGTGACTTCAGGTCTCTGAGTTGGCAAGGCCGCCATGCAGGCCTCCCCTGAGTTGTCAGGTGAGCAGGTGGCCCCTTTGCGTCCATAAAACCATCGCGTAGTCAGCCAGCGCGGCTCTCACGCATCCCTCAGCCGTGTCCGGCCACGCAAGGCTCTCACGAAACAGCACCGCCTCTGAGCGCTCCATGAAACCTCACTCCCAGCCAGGTTAGTGTGGCTCCCGTGGGCTGTCCTCGGGCCTGGCCCTGCCGCCACTGCCCGCCAGGACATGACTGGAAGGGCCCGGTGTGGTGTCTGTCTCTCTTGATGAAGGGTGGGCTCCTCAAAGGCAGGAAGTTGTCTGGCGCCCTCTTCTCTAAGCACCACCTGGTACGCAGCTGGGAATATAATAGACATTTCCAAAGGACAGCATTTCATCGAGTGTTTTTCACGATACATTTCACTTTTAATTTGATGGCATTTGGATTATATACTGAGGGGTAATTTGTCAATAGGGTTTAGTTTTTCCCGACCCAGCTTTTAAACACAAATAATCTGAGACTGAAGGAATCATTTGTTCCCACTCACTGCGTTTAGCCCTGTCATTAATCTCACTAAAGAGGTAGCCAGCCCAGGTCTCAGAGAGGCTTCCTCCCCCGTTGGACTCCCGGCAGGACACAGACCACTCCGGGTGTTTGGGGCAGGCGGTGGATTTGTAGGAGGAATTAGGTGTTTGTGAAATCCTGAAAGTCCCGGAGGAGCAAGGGTCAGGGACTTGGGGCCACTGGGGGTAGCGTGCCCGCCAGCACAGAGAGCGAGGAGCCGGGAGTGGTGACACAGCCACCGCGGCCCACACGGCCACTGCTCGGTGACAGTCACACTGCCATGAGCGCACCGGCCACCAGAAAGAGCAGCAGGACACGGTGCTTCTCAGTGAGTTCAGTGCTTCTCGTTAACAGAACCACCTGGCACCCAGGAGCCGGCTCACTGTGGAGCCAAGAAGTGGCCGTCCTGCTTTCCAGCCTTCCCTCTGCAGAGAATCTCGGAGAAAGAGGAGGTGGGTGCTGAGTCACTGTCCACCCTGAGCGCACTTGCCTGCCATGGTTCCACCAGGAGTTGCTAGCGATGGGCCTGGCCTCCCACCAGAGACACAGCTGACATGGACAGCGTCCAGTGAGCCAGCGCTTTCTAGTTATGGCACAGCAGGTAGGCTTCTAGGGCAGAAGAACTCCCAGTAAAGCTGAATGCAAGCCCTAGGGTGACAACGTAGGCTGACCCCTGCTTGCCCTGATGCTCCCTTCTCGCAGAGTGAGCCCTAATAGAAAGTTCACCTCAAAGGAGCACCCGGTGACTCTCAGGTTGACTGCACATACCCCGTCTTCAAAATGCAGGTCGGGCCCGGCCGGCGGGGCTCAGGGGCGAGCAACAGCTTATGACCTAGGACAGTGGTCGGCAAACTCCTTAGTCAACAGAGCCAAATAGCAACAGTACAACGATTGAAATTTCTTTTGAGAGCCAAATTTTTTAAACTTAAACTATATAGGTAGGTACATTGTTATTAACTTAATTAGGGTACTCCTAAGGCTTAGGAAGAGCCACACTTAAGGGGCCAAAGAGCCGCATGTGGCTCACGAGCCGCAGTTTGCCGACCACTGACCTAGGAGGTCACGGTTCAGTTCCCCTCAGAGCACATCCCCTGGTTGCAGGCTTGGTCCCCAGTGTGGGGCATGGTGGAGGCAGCTGATCAATTATTCTCTCGCTATTGATGTTCCTATTTCTCTCTCCCTCTCCCTTCCTCTCTGAAATCAATAAAAATAAAAAACAAAACAAACAAAATGCAGATCATTGCTGAGCCCTCTGACCTGTGTCCTCTGTAATTAAGACCTCCTCTCTTCTCAGCATCGTGTACGAGCCGCAGTTTGCCGACCACTGACCTAGGAGGTCACGGTTCAGTTCCCCTCAGAGCACATCCCCTGGTTGCAGGCTTGGTCCCCAGTGTGGGGCATGGTGGAGGCAGCTGATCAATTATTCTCTCGCCATTGATGTTCCTATCTCTCTCTCCCTCTCCCTTCCTCTCTGAAATCAATAAAAATAAAAAACAAACAAAATGCAGATCATCGCTGAGCCCTCTGACCTGTGTCCTCCGTAATTAAGACCTCCTCTCTTCTCGGCATCGTGTTTTTGTAGAGCTGCCATCTTTATTTCCGATAGCCCACAATTCCCCTGGCATCCGGAATTCAGACAGGCATTTTATTTCGGAAGATCTCAGATAACCAATGCGTGTAAACCTGGGGCATGGAATTTCTACTGGAGAAGTTAAAAGAGAAGAAATATGGGGAAAGGGCGAGGAAACTGAAGCATTTGTTAGGGAGGGTAGATGCTGATCCCTGGCCTTCGGGCTGTTTTTCCTGAATATGCCCACGAAGTCCTTTGCCAGCCATAACTGTGAGGAAAGGTTAATGCTGGGCAAACATCACACTGTGTTAGCACTAAGCGCTTGTGACCTCGATACGTGTAAGTTACGAGAGGAGGCCTTTGGGGGAAATAGTGTGACGGTGCTTGTCAGCAAGGCCACTTACTGATGAGCGGGAATCGTTCCTGCCATCATTTCCCCAAATACTTGACCCCTGCCCAGCGCCGATCATGTCTGTTGGGGAATGTTTTGCCTCAAATGTGGTGATTAACTCCTGATAATTATGAAAAAGCTTCAATTATTAAAATGCTGCAAGTAGGATCATATGCCCTTCGAGCCCCGGTGCTGCCCCAGGTGCAGCTGGCCGGGGAGGGACCGGGGGAGGTTGGCTCCAGGGTGTGTCCAGCCTGTCTCGCCCAGTCCCACCCCGCCAGCCACCTTCTGATTAATTTACTTTCAATATGCGTGAATCCGTGCACTGGGCCTCTAGTAATAATCATAATAAACGATCATAGCAATAATAGTAGGAAAATCAGAAAGTATTAATGTGTCTCTGGCACTCTGCTAGGTTTTTCACACATTATTATTATTTAATCCTTAAAACAAGATGATGGTTTCATTAAGCTTATGTTATACATTAAGAAAAGTGTCATCATTTAGGTTTGCAGAGAGCATTCCTATGGTTTAAGTCACTGGGGATTTGTTGTCGTTTGGTGGGAATCTGTGAGTTGGAGGGATGGGCTTCTGTGTCTGTCTATAAGCAGATGAGGGAACACCCGGGAGAGGAGAGGCTGCAGGAAGAGGCGGAGCTGGGAACAGTGCTTCCTTAGCTATAGCTGTCCTTCTCTTTCACCATTTAAATTATTCTATATTCTGTATTTTTGAAATTTCTCCATCATTTTCTTTATAAAGTGTATTTTCTTTTACAATGAAACACCTGGAATTCCTTCTGGAATAGATGCCCAGAGAATCGGTTCCTACGATGCAGGCTGCCCTCCATGCCCGGCAGCACCAGGGCTCGAAGGGCATCTGTGGAGTGAGCGGTCCCTCCACAGGTGGGGTCCCTCGGCCTGGCCTGCGGGATCAGGCCAAAACCGGCAGTCTGACATCCCCCAAGGGGTCCGGGAGTGCGAGAGGGCACTCTGTAAAGTTGCTGTTGCTGGGCAGCTCCTGCGTTGAGCGTTGCCCCTGGTGGTCAGTGTGTGTCATACCTACCGGCCGGTGGGCCAGTTGCTTAGCCTTTTATATCTATAGATGGCCCTTTTAGTACTGCTGAGCCCAGTGACTTCCGGGACTCCAGGCAGCAAGGGGAAGTAGCCATGAGTTGGGCAGCGGTTGGGTCGGTCTGTCTATTGTGATTAAAAACACCCCCACATGGTGCCCAATTCCACCCGGGGCCATGGCAGTGCCAGAGGCTGGGATGTGGGCTGCCTGGGGTGGTGACCACGTGCTTGGAGAGGCTCCCTGAGAGCCAGCCGTCCCTCGTGCGTGGCGCCAGTCAACAGAAGTCTCATTCCAACAGTAATGACTGCTTTGATCTTTCCCGCTACCACAGTGAGGTGGCCGCTGGAGGGTCCCCAGTGAGGCGAGACGCATTGGCTGTGCAGCAGGCACGCGGCCCGACGGGGCCATTGGTTTCACAGATCTCACCTTCGGGGGGTAATGTAAGCGCAGGATTGCGCGGCTCATCGCGGCCTAATTCAAAGCCAACCACCCATGTTCTCCGCTCGTCAGGGGGCTGGTTCTCTGGGCTCTCGGCACCTCTCAGACGCGCAGCACCTCGAGCGGCTATTGTGTTATGATTATTGCTTAAGGGACTCTGCAGTTTAAACATCCTGCCAACCCCTCTCCTCATAATTCTCCAAGTACACCTGTAAGAACAGAACGGCTTTCTGTTGGCAATTTCCATTTGGGTCTTTTTCTTTATTTTTTTATAGTTGCCATTTTTCTGCTGAGACTCCCACCAGTTTACGCATTATTTCTATCTTTTGCTTGAAATTGAATTACAGCCTATTACTAACCAGCATTACTCAAAGGCTGTTCCTGAGTGTCTGGGACATTCTGTGACTCATTCACAGCTTAGCACGTAGTAGTGTTGTGGGCGGTGGGGATGGCACCCGGTGTCTGACTGGTGGGGTCAGCAACCTTGGACCTTGGGTTCTGGCTGGGAAGGAATTCAGACAAGACCCAAACCACAGAGAGCATTTCCTGGGTGAACCGCAGGGAGAAGTCATGCCCAGAAGAAATGGTCGGCAGACAAGCTGTGGAGGCAAAGGAAGGGCCTTGGAGCGGGGGCGCGAGGAAGCTCAGGGGACCTGCCTGGGTGGAGGGAAGGGGAGGCAGGCTGTGCTCCCGGGAGGGAGAGGCCCTGGGCCCTCCATCCTCAGGGCTCTCAGGGCGGAGACTGTGGGCAGCTCCCGGGAAGGTCCAGTAGCAGAGGCAGCAGCGTCCAGGTGTGTCCTCTCCGGCTGTGCTCTCCGCTGAGTGGCCGGCACCAGGGCAGGGTCACTGTCCAGTGCAGCTGGTTGAATTCCTGGTGGAACTCCCAGTCCAGGGGACAATTTACGTATTAGCCTTTCATTATATAGGATAATGGTTGAAAAACGCATCAAAAGACAAAGAATGTTTTATCATGTAAAAATCACATGCAATTGAAATATGAATGTTCACGAATAAAGTTTTATTGGAACATAGCCACACTCACTCATGCCCATCCATGTCCCTCTTGATCTCATCCCACGGGAAAGACCCCAGGGGCAGCCAGAAGCGGTACAAATACTCGCATGTTTACGGGACGTCCGGTCACACTGTCGACTGCTGGGATGTTCACTAGAATCAATCAATATATATCACAGCGCAGAGTTAAATGAGACATCAATCCTTTATCTTTATCTCTGGCAGGATTCTCTCTACCTCCCACCACCAGCTCTCTGAGGAGTGAGAGGATTTACAGCACTTTCCTGACACTCTCCCTACACTCACGTGAGTGTTCTTTCCACACTCGGCCCCTCCAGGAGTCTGTGTCGAATTTAAAAAAGAAGAAGAAGCACTGCAGTCCTTAGTGGGGGGGGGGGGGGGGAGGCTTTGTCACTGGCTCTCTCTAAGCAGACTCAGCGGTGACGTCATCCTCACACGCCAGGTGCTTTGATTGGTTGGTTTATCCTTGTTATTGCTGTTTTCTTTTTCTCTCTACTTATTTCTTTCTTTTAACACCCCCTCCCTTGTATGTTGTAGATTTTTCTATAGGACATTTTAGTGGATTTTCAGGAAAGATCCTCTCAGATTTTAAGGGGAATTTACCTAAGAAAGGGGAGCTGATCACTTTCTGCAGAGGCTGTTTACATGGGGAGGGGGCGGGGTGGTAGCCCCGAGGGTGATTTCAACTCAATGAGGAGCACTGGCATCGGAACAGGCCAGAGAAAGGGCGGTGCGGCCAACGAAGTGTGCCCATAGCTCAGTTCCAAGTTTTCTCAGTGTTAGTACAGGCTCCTTGGCCACTTGGCCTGATGCCAGGCAACCCACGCAGACAGCTTCTTTCTCCTTCTCTTCTCCTTCTCTTCTGTCTCCTTCTCCTTCTCTTCTGTCTCCTCCCCGTCCTCCTTCTCCTCCTCCTCCTCCTCCTCCTCTCTCCTCCCTCCTCTCTCTCCTTTCCCCCTCCCCTCCCCCCTCCTCCTCCTGACACTTGAAGACCTAACTGGCTTTCATTACTGATGCATGAATTGGGCGACATCCCATCTAGCAAACAGAAGGGAACCCCCAGGAGCTGTAGAAACGGGAGATGTTTATAAGGCAGAAAGAAGGCACAAAAAGGAAGTTTCTAACAAAGAAATGTCAGGCAAGGTGGCCTTCCCTTGGGGGAAGGGCAGGGTCTGCCCTGCAGATCACTTCCCTCATGTGGGCACCTCGTTCCAGATGAGCAGGTGGAAGGCCTCCTCCCTGGGAGAGGTAGGTCGAAGTCTTGGTCTGCTGAGTGGGCTCAGCGCAAGTGACTCCATTTCTTCTTCTTCGACCCTGAGGCCCAAACACCGGGCTCAGCACAAGTGACTCCATTTCTTCTTCTTTGACCCTGAGGCCCAAACACCCCTCAGTAGGTCGGCTCCTGAGGGCATCTGCCACGTGTGCCCAGCGCTGGCCAGGTGACAGGCACGGAAGAAACAGCCACCAAGAATCCAGGAGTTTTAATTACACACAATGCAGACGACAGTTATATACAGTGACATCATCCACACTTGGTTGGGAAATGTTTCGTATGTTGGCTGTATATTATCAGAATATTTGAGTCTATTGAGCTGTATGTCACTCCAACCATTGGTGTGGATGTGCGAAGTGCATCCCCTGAAGTTTAAAATGTGTCACTTCCCTGTCAGTATCTGCATGTGCATATATGCATAAACCAGCTTAATTCCTGATGCATAATCACTTATGCATATTTGATAAGTAGATATAAATAGATGTATGCATTTACTTTTATATTTAGATATGCTCATGTGTTAATATAGCCACGTGTGTGCGCGCCTGTGTAATAACTGAAATCCCCAGCTCGTCGGCCATGGTTGGGTGAGGAAAAAGCTAGATTAACTGATCCATGTTACAGTAAATCTCTTATTCCATACCTGACATTTCTTAGAAAGCCGTGAGACATGATTAATGAAAGCTTAAAAGACAAATGTGTGCTCTGCCCCCTGCTCTTTATTTAAATAGCCATGTTAGCTCCCAGTGGAGACAGAAATTAATGTGTCAAAAGTTGTGAGCTCCCACAGAGAGCATAAAGGCATATGCCCCCAAGCATACATGCTCTCATACACACATGCACACACATACACATACTCTCACATGCATACACACTCTCACATACACACAGTCACACACACATACACACACACACACAGACAGAAAAGCTAGAGTCTGGCCTTCATCTATATAAAAGCAAGTCAAGCCACCAGAAAGCCAGAATGGCCGGAATAACCAGTCGCTATGACATGCACTGTGGCTGACCCCTGCCAGACAGGGGACAGGTCCGGCCGGCCAACCTCCCGCGGCCCTTCACCCCTACTGCCCCAGCCCAGTGGGCTCCCATGAGTGGGGGGGGGGGCAGCCGGACCCCACCAGTGCCTGAATTCGTGCACCGGGATTTCCATAGCCTATGTTGCTTTTAGTATAAAGAGCACCTGATACGTTGTCCACATGATATTTAAATGGACAGTCATCATCACCCTGAACTGGATTCAGGCTCCGTCTGCAGAGATATCTGTGTGGATGTCCAATGGTTTGTAAGCACCAACGGGCTTCCCATCCCAGTCCAGGGGTGCCCGCTGTGCGGTGCAGGCTCCTGTGCGGATGTGGCATCGTCTGTCTGAGTTGCTGGCCCGTCATAGAGGCATGGTGCAGTCACCGGTGGGCGGGCATGTGGGTGTGGCAGTCTTCCACGTGGTGGGTGCTGGTCTAGTTTCTTCCTCTATGAATGAGAAAACTGAGGCACAGGAAGAGGAAATAATTCCCCATAACAACAGACAGTCACACAGAACGTTGATTTCTCACTGCCTCTCACACTCCCTGCTCAGCCACCTCACACTCCCGTCTGCAAGTCCCAGGAATGGGTCTCCTCAGTCTGACCTTGACTTTCCCCTGAGGACCATGGCGCACACTTTAACTCCTGAGGGGGCTGCAGCGTGCCCCCAGGTCCACCATCCCTGAGGCGCTGGCTGCTGGCAGCCGCAAGGTGGGTCCTTGCCTGCTTGGCTCTGAGCCCAGACCTTGAACTCAGACACCCAAAGGTCAGAGGCGCCTGTAAAGGATTCAGTGCCACACGGGGAACAGAGGGCCCTGGGAGACTCGCAGGGCAGCCAGGGTGGCCAGGGGGCTCCCGTGTTCACAGTTCAATTGATCTCAAGGACCTGGGTCTCCTCCTAAATTGATAGCAGTTGAGTTTGTTGGTTTCTTTTTATTGTTTCCTTTAACCTGCAAATGTGCTGCATAGAAACCATTTTCCTTCAGGCAAGAGGACAAAGGCAGCTCCCTGCTCATCTAACTGGAGGCCAGTGATTGCTCAGTGGGAGGCAGCTAGACCTGAGCAGAGCAAGGCCCATGGCCAGGCAGAAGGTCCTCACGGCGGAGGGGCCAGGTGCCTAGCAACAGCCAAAACCAAGGACCTGGCCCAGGGTGACCTTTCCTCCCTGGCAGATCGCTGGCCACTCGGGTCAGACCCCGACCTTTCATAGGGCTGGTCAGGGGGTTTGGACCCTCCCCTGGCACCTGGTTTAGACCAGCTGCACGACTAATGAGCCCCTGCCCTGGCGCCGACCCATCAGTGGAGACCATGGCCCTGAAAGGCCACACCTGGGAGCTGATGGATATTCTGATGACTGTTCTTCCCGGGGACCTTCCTAATGCTCACTCCTACAGCCCGGAGGATGGAGGGCCTGCTCTCCCTCCCTCCCTCCCTCTCCGGAGCACTGCCAGCCTTTCCCACCCCCTCCCAGGCTGACTGACCCGTCACAGTAAATCCTGTATTCCATCCCAGCTGCCCGCCTTTACCTGTTCCGGTTGCTGGCTTTTTATATAGAGAGATTTTTGAAGAGACTATGTGTTACTCGATCTAATTTTTTAAAAATCTTGTCTGAAAGTAGAAAACTGATTAAATTCAAGGACAGTTATGCCACCTCGAAGACACAGCCTTTGTTCTACAGAATCTAGGCCATATTCCTATTGCTTCCTCAGAGGACAGACGTCTGAGAACCCATCAGCAACACAGCCACAGCAGGCGACATGTAGAGCGTAAGTGTGAGGGAGGACAATTAGAATGCTGGTGGTGCTCATTTGTTTTTCTGTCCGGGACATTGTTTTATGCAGACTGTGCCTTGGGCATCATCTGTTGCCTTGCAGGCTACATGAGCATCCTAATTTGTTTGGGGCTCTGGGTTTCATCTGCAATTTGGATGAACTACAAGCAAATCCTCGGGCTCTGTGCCCTTCGTGGAGCCTGTGGGAACAGCCCTGGCCACCACCCC